GCTCCCTCTCCCTCCTCCCTCCTGCTGTGTCAAAAGAGAAGAAAGGGGGCAGGTGTGGCCCACAAGGGCTGAGCCAAGAAAGTCCTTCTGGATGGCCCTGGTCACTGGCTGCAAGAGTGCACCCTACAGATATCGGCTACCTACACCTCACACAGGGCAAAGGTGTCATTTCCACTGTGGACGAGGACTGAGACACCCCCATAACGGGTCTGTAAGGGATTGGCCTCTAGCATTTGCTTCAGACTCCTAAAGGGACAGCATGTGGCCAGTGTTCAGTGTGCACACTCAGGTTTCAACCCCTTGTTCCCTAAATGGGGGATGTCCCCAACACAGGCTCCTTGAAGAAGATACAGAATAATTTGAATGGGAGTGGCTGAGAGGACCTGAGATTCCTTTCCTGTGCTGGCACTTCAGGACTCCACAGTTCTGCAGCCACAGAGAACAGATGCCAGTCCCAGGGCTCCCATCTGGTGGGTGGCGGACTTTAGGGGTGGGGACAAGGGGGTCACCTCCAGGGGAGCTGGAATTCGTGAATCCCAATGTCATCTGAAAACTGAATGAACACCATGACTCATAAAGATAGCACTATTTTTCATGTGTACACTGATGTGAGTGTGATTTATTTAAACGCTTTACTGCATTCAGAGTAGCTTTTCTTCTCAACCAGGGATACTTTCAAAATGCAATTTCTAATAACAGGGGGATGGGGGGTGTTCTAGAAAATATTTTGATGTTGAACAGGGGTCCCCAGACTTGAAATGGTTGGGGATCTAGCCCCCTGGTCCTGAGTTTCCACATGAGGAACACATCCTCCCTGGGGGCGGATAGGAGAGCCATGTATTTTGTATACACCCCCAATTGTCCCCAGAGCGCAGCTCCATGGAGCTCCTTCCTTCTGAAAGGTTCAACACACTCCTCCTACCCCAATAATTTCCTTGTTAAACCCTTTCTCAGTAGCTCCTTCAAAGATAAACAAATTGTCACAAATTCTGTATAACCATAGGGGTCCAAATTAATGATTAATGAGGTTTTACTTTCTATTTGAGATCTGGAAGTCAAGTAGCTAAATGCAGATTAGCCAGATTCAAATGCCTGCTGCACATCCTCTAGGAGAGAGAAGAGTGAAGCTGATGCTCTTGCTCCACTGCAGAGTCCAAGAACCCCGGCTGCTCCCGGTCATCCCCCCCACACTCACTCGCCACCCAACCTGGCTTGACAGACGCGCTCTGCACCTCAGTAGCTGCCCCACACAGGGCTGCTGAGGATCCCAACGATCATGTCACTCCCCTCTCCTTCAGGAGATTCAACTAAACATAAGAAACCTGACCAGGACAGGGTGTCCAGGGTTGGGGAGGGGCAGGAGGGGCACAGGCATCTTCTTCCAGGGGAGATTCAGGCTGATCGGGCATCAAATGAACAAAGGAGTGACACAGTCCTGTGGAAGGCAGGAATCCGGAATGCCAACAGTGGAGAATCCCTTGGTGGCCCTGACTCATTACTTGGGCAGTTCCTGTTATTGCCAGCATTCTCCCCAGAGGACCCCCCAGGTAGCATTGACAGACTCTCTAAGCTTGAATATCAAGCTACCTGCAGAAGAGAAGATGGATCCTCAGCTCCTTTTGACCCATGATGATGGGAGAGGGAGGTAACTTAAATCTTTGCTATAATTTGCTACATCTTTCTAAATCTTGATGAAAACCTTTCTCTCACCAGACGCAGTGGCCCACGCCTGTAATCCCAGCAACCTGGGAGGCTGAAGCAGGAGGATGAGAAGTTGCAGGCCAGCCTCAGAAACTTTGCAAGACCCTGTCTCAAAATAAAAATAAAAAGGGCTGGGGATGTGGCTCAGTGGTAAAATGTCCCTGGGTGCAATCCCCAGTACCAAAAATAGAAAATAAAAAAGAAACCTTTCTCTCTAAGTCAGGTCTAGACGGGACAGTTCAACAGCTTTCCACTGACAGGGAGATCCCTAGAGACCAGGGAACAGAGAGGGTGATGGATGTTTGGATGAGCACTCAAAAAGTGGAGAAGGATGGAGGGGGAGCACAAGACACAGCCAAGGGGGTGGCATTTAGACACAATTTGAGGTCTGGCTTCCACACTCCTCAGATCATTAGCATGACTGTGGCAAGATTTGCAGAGCTGGGGGCTCCCCAGGATTCACACCCAAGTCTTGAACAGCATGTTGACTATCTGAGGCCAAATCCACCTCTGTGGTAGGGGGGCAGGGAGAGAAAGATGTCCAGCTTGAGGGTAGAAGAGATGACTCCTCTTGGACATCCTCAGCACTCAAAGACATTTTTTCTTGGAATCTGGCCCTATCTAAAAGATGCGTCCTGGGCTGGGGTGTGGTTCAGGGGTGGAGCATTTACCTAGCTCACACAAATCCCTGAGTTTTCTCCCCAGCACTGCAAAGAATCAATCAATCAATCAATCATTCTTATCCCCACCCTGCCCTGTCTGGACTTCTCTCCTTCTCCCCTCCAGCCTGGCTGCTCTGACTGCTCTCTGTCCCTCTGTCCCCAACTCTGTGCATCCAGCCCTCCTCCCCCCCCCCCCCCTGCTGCAGGGCTTGGCAAAGGCCCTCACGGGGATGGAGCCCCCACTGTGTCCCAGGCAGCCCAGCAGGTAGCTCACAGCTGGGGCCACAGGACACAGCCAGATCGCTTCCCATCTGCACTGACATCTTCCAGGCACATTTACTTGATCTTTCTGAGGCAATCCTAAGCACCCAGAAGGTGGGTCGAGTCCTGGGCTGCCCTTTCAGAAACTGATTTCAGAAAAAGCATTTCAACTTGTCTCAGACCTTTCACTCAGGAGGAGAGAAGAGCGGCCATAAAGGAGCTGTCACTGTGTGGGGGCAACTCATCTCCATTCACTTGAAATGTGACTTCCTCGGGCTCTGGGAGGACAGATCCCAGAGACACATGCTTGTGAGATGACTGAGGGAAAGTCAATCCTGCCGCAGTGGTTATTAGGCCCGCTCCATTTGGAGTGACAGAGGTTAATGTATCGGGCACCATCTGATTCAGGGCATTAATAATTAAATAGAAAAATGCCCCTGGATTCATTGCAGAGGAAGAGAACATGTAAATAAATCAGCTGGTCGCCCCCGCTCTTGTCCTGTCTATTAAGGAGCACAGGAAGGGAGCAAGGTTCTAGAGGTGGAGAAATGTCCTTCCTGACGGGGGCATGGGTGCTTTACACCATTGACTGGCGGTGGGGTGGAAGGGAGAGGGAGGCCAGGAGGCGTGTCTCCCACACCTGCCTACAAGGAATCATCCTCAGGGCGCACCTGCCACAGCCTGAAGGGATCACGGAAGCACAGGGCGGTGCTGTGGAGGGCCCAAAAAAAACAGACCTCAGCTGCAGTCTGCTGACCCCAAGCAGCAGAGGGATTAAAACTCCCATGGGGGGTGGGGGGTAGGGAGGAGGCTTCAAAAGACTTGGTGGGACTTAGGGTGGAGAGAACCTGGAAAGGTGGGGGCAGAGAGAGGGCAGTGCAGGGCGGGGACAGCATAAGGAAACATGGAGGTGGGACCATTCAGGGGAGCTCCAGCCTACAGGGCAGCAGAGGCTGGCACTGCAGAGCGGCCGTGCTCAACATGGGGAACGCGGGAGGGCAGTCTGCAAAGCTGGCATCTATGGAACACAAGTCCCCAGACATATTGACAGAAATCTCTCAGATAAGGTTTCCACGAGTGAATAGGCTCTGAAAATGATGCATACTATGTCCTCGTCTTAAATATTCACCGCGCATCTTAGCAGACCTGAGGCTCTGAGAAAACTTAAAGAGACCTGTTTTTCTTTGTTTTACCCGGTTGTTCCCATGGAACTGTATTTAGTGATACAGCTTAATGAGCAGAGTAATTCATAATACCTGGTTTAGAAACTCTGCTTCTCTCCATCAGGGTCAAGTTTGAGGGAAGGCCTGGTCCAGGTCAATCTGTGTCCCTGCAGTTGTATTCACTGGTTTACATTTTTTAAAAAAATATTTATTTTTCAGTTGTAGTTGTACACAACGCCTTTATTTTATTTATTTTTATATGGTCCTGAGGATTGAACCCAGCGCCTCACACATGTGAGGCAAGCACTTTACCACTAAGCTACAGCCCAGGCCTGGTTTACGTTTAAGAGCCTTCTGTACCTGCCCACTGGGCATCTTAAGAGACTAACATCATAGGATCCGAACTCCCAGCCCAGGATTGTGCTCTGACCTGGGTTGACTCTGCAGGCTGAGCCATCTTAGAGATAATGGCATCCTCAGCAGGCCCCTGCCTTCTGCCAGGGGCCCGCC